ACGAAATAGGGTGAATACATCTTATATAACTACTATGACAGAGGACTTCGACAAGGTGAGTCCAACTATTCTACCTGACCAACCCATTTCTATACATCGAAAGTAGACTGCGACCATAGCGAGGGCCCTACCATCTTCAATTAAGTTTAATATAACTTTAAAAATTAAAATAAAATCAACTATAATACAAAATAACACCAGCAGGCCGAAGATAAGTAGACTTTTGTAGGATTTCATTTTCTTGAACTGAAGAATAAGGCTGAAATAGAACCAACTTGGTATTATACTTTGAAGGCTTCATTAACGATAGTGATCATATTAATGATCGCCATTATTAGCTTTACTGTTAATTGTAACACTCCGAGTAGAATGCACACAACAATTATCACAGCTTATACAAGTAACATAACTCACAGGGTTTTCTGACCAGGATAAACTGGAGTAGATGGACGTGCAGTGGGAGGCACAATTGGAGTGAGAGGGCGCTGAATGCGTCCACGGGATAACTGTTTCCAAGCATTAGAATCAGAAACGGGCACGGAAGAAGTGGCTTCCAATGAAACCGGCTTAAGTCGTCCAGGAAGAGAAAAACGCTTGAGGATTAAGTCAGCTCCCTCCATACGAGAATATAAATGTGATGTGAAGGGACGCTGATCAGTGTTAGATCGCTCAACATCAAGAGAGCCTGCTAAATAAAGGTTTAAAAGAATAATAGTATGATCTCCTTCAATAAGATCAATTTATAAAAAGACAAACTTACGAGGGATAACTGTGACATTATTATTAGAGATTCTCGTTGCGAGAGTAGTGGAGCTGGAATTGTCACTATTCGATCTTTCAATAACATTCGAAATATGAGCAGGTGCAGAAGTTTCTTCTGATTTTATAGGAGGTAAACGCTTGTGGGACTCCTTAGTGAGAAGAGCATCTTCACATTCAGCATGACGACGAAACTCTTCACGGCGTCTTTCCCTTCGCAATTTGACTTCGTTCATTCTAGATTTGAGACTATGAACCTTCTCTGCAAGCTGAGAGCACTCCTGGCGCCAAGGAGAAACAAATGAGGAGGCAGTATGTGCAGAAACGGGATCATCTTGATTTGTTAGCATTTCGCCAAAATGAGATCGATACTGGGCGTAGGCGTTACCAGAAAGTCCAACAGCTCGAAGTCCCGGAAATGAAAGTGAGTCAAAATCCCCCAGCGAAACATGTGGTGATTGGGGTGGCGGACAGTTAGAATAATCACCAGCCGTCAGAGAAACAGAAGAAGGAGGGCCAAACAGAAGATCCCCGGTACGATAGTATAACAAATAATCATCCAAATCAGCAAGACTATCGTCATCATTATCGTCATCCCCGTCGTCGTCGCAGATACCATTTGAGGCACATGCATCATCACCTTCAGGATCGTCATCTAGTTTTCCCGAAACATCTTCAATGTTAATTTCTAGGCTATGTTCAGCTTCTGTTTCATCTTCTTCTTCCTCTTCCTCAGCGAGACAATCTCTGGGTATGGCAAAACTTCTAGAATTACGATGGCGCCAGTCTGCTGCCAAGTTATCTCGAGAAGATACAGCCAAATTTTGATCAGAACAAGTGGATCTAAAGGAGATATTCGAACAATGAGATGAAGAAGGGAAAGAACCTTCTTCCCTGGAGCCATTAGACGTGGAATATCGCCACCTCGAATTTGAAGTTTTAGGAGAGAGACGATTAAGGAAGGCATTCGGTGGGCGCAACCAATGATATGGATATGCATACCGATTATTCTCGCTTGAACAGGCCTCCTTAAAATTTGATTCAAGGTTGGTTTTGATGGCCTTACGCCCACTAGCAGCGGCAAGAAGCCCTGCAAGGAAGGCATATGCAGAAGAGATAGAACTAGCTGTATCGTTTACCCGTTCATTATCATGTATCGATAGAGTGCCACATGTAGAGCTAGACTCATCTGATTCTACTTCAGCTTGATAAGGAGAGCCAACGTTTGCTGAGTGCTCAGGAAATAGATCAATCGAAGAGGCGGTGTGTGGTCGAGATCGAGGTTCAAATGAAAGAACTTTGTGAGGGTTATGAAAATCAGTCTTAGAGCAATTATCCGCCAGTTTCAATTCTTTGGATGAACGCGAGTTTGAACTATTTACAGCATCACAATTATTAAGAAAAATTGATTTGGTGGATGGGACTTGAAAATAAGGCTTGATTTTAGAAGTATCGTGCTCGAGATCATATATGTTTGATACATCACTAGATTCACTCTTAAGTGAACCTGCAAACCCATTGGAAGCTAGACATACATCTGAAAGGCGAGAAGATGAAAGTTGACTTTCTAAATCTGATGATGGCTCTGGACCACATATTTCAGAAGCATTTTCTTTAAAGGTGGGTAAGCACTGGCCCAAGGGCGTATGAAGAGGACGACAAGAGGAAAATTCGTTTGTAGAGGCACTGGCGGTAGACGTGAGTGCAGGGGCGCTCCAGCGAGTTGCTTGGCTGTGTATGAAAGACGAATGATTATCCAAGCTTTTGAAATCATGGAGGACAGAATTATCAGAACAATTTTTTTCTGAGGGAGCACTTGGGAGCTCAGCAACATCATTGAAATTCGCGTTCTTGTCTAACGAAGACTCAGATGAGTTAGAATGCCATGGTCTAAAAATATTCGGTGCCATCATAAAATATATGGTATATGGGTTTTAATTAATAAAATTATTTAAACATATAGGATGCGCCATGGCGCCAGAAACAAAATAGCATGCAGAAGTAGGTTGACCTCCTTGTCGCAGCTTGGTCTTGTTGTCAGGGAGACCTAGTAGAACACACCTAGTCCGAGGTCATGATTCCCAGCATCCGACAGTGGACTTGGTACATTCTCGAACGTCAGGACAGAAAGAGTGATATTTAAACCGTTTTCAGCAGAACTTTTGTCGAGGGATTGACTTAACTTGTCACTGACGAGTTCGTAGTTTGGTGCGGAGAATGGCAAAGCTTACTGAAGATGCCGGCGAAACGTCTGAGAATGTACCACTTCCACTGTCTGAGGCTCGGAATCATAACTACTATAGCAGACGACTTCGGACTAAGTGCGCTATACTAAAGCCACTCTGAAAGCTAGACCAA